GGTAGCACAGTTTTATGGGTTGGGAAATGGAAAGTTACGCAACCTGTACGGCTTTTGTAAGTTTCGGACAGTAGAAGAAGAAACAGTAAGCCGTCAATCTATTTAAAGGGGATAAGGGTCAGAGTGTTCTGTCACAACCGTGTCTTTTATCAGTGGACCGCGCGGGGCCCCACGTACATGATACACTTCGCTCTTCTTTCCCTTAAAATCACAGATATTCTCCGGAGGCGAGCCACTGACGGAAGCGATTGCTGAGGCCTTGGCGTAAAGTTGCACACATAGGTATTGCGCTTCTGAGACCGCAGAGACTGAGAAATCGTTGACATGATTAGTCAAAATTAGTTTAATCAATTCGAACCTAAGCCGTTTGTGACTAGTTTGCATCCAGTCCCTTACTTCCAACTGCTGGCAATTCAGCTTCGTGCTTTCATTTGGAACTCATTTCTCTTTACATCTGTGTAACATTCTTGATTACGTAGATGAGGTTGGATGCAAGAACATGATCGACCCTATTTCGAGTCCATTTTGAAAAACTGAGCTAGCATCAATATTTGACGCTCCAAGATGCGCGAAATATCGCAACTAAGGAAGAAATAGTGCTCTAATTCCTAGCTTGCTCCAATTTATTTGAGGTTGACCTACAAGTTAGCTGGTCACCAACCTCGTCTCTATGGGTATTCGGAAGAGATCGTCACTAACGGGATTTGGACTAAGAGTGAGGGAGCAGTGGAGATTGGGATACGTCCGAAAAACGTCAGCTAACCTAATGGCAGTTATCGACCGCACAATTGCTTCGCACCTACTAGGAACTTCACGCTTGACATTCTGTTTGACACCAACTTGGGCCAAACAAGGTATACTAAATGCAACAATAATAAAATTCGTAGAAAGTAGAAGTCACGATTAACCTGCACACAATAATCTGCCTCGACGCGGAATCGAACCCCGGTCCCACGAATTTCCGGTCAGCTGCTCTACCACTGAGCTACCGATGGCTGACGATTAGGTGCACAATTTAATACGCAGATTATTGTGTGCAGTTCACTCATGACTTCTACTTTCTACGAACCTTACGCTACTCACAAACATCCTTCAAGTAATCTACCATCGCCTTTTGGACTTCAGAAGGACAGTTACTTCGGTCCCTTGGGAAGTGACGAATGAGTGAGCCAATCTGCAACACCAAGACAGTTACTGTGAGCTCATTGGTAATACGTCGCGCACCAAGCAGAAGTCATGTATGAAATTGTGCACCTAATCATCATCCCTCGGTAGCTCAGTGGTAGAGCAGCGGACCGGAAATTCGTGGGACCGGGGTTCGATTCCCCGTCGAGGCAGATTATTGTGTGCAGGTTAATCGTGACTTCTACTTTCTACGAACCTTACGCTACTCACAAACATCCTTCAAATAATAAAATTGGTGTGTTCGCAATTAGGTGACACGGCCCAGCAAATCTGATTCCATCATACGATAGCAGAGTAATGTAACTTGAAATTATAGGACTACTGTACAAGAACAAATCTGATTCGCTTTCCATTAATTCCTGCACCATTACTTTCTTTTCACAGGGTTTCGGATTGGAAGACGATTTCGAATCGTGCAGATACGTTTAAGCGGAGGGTAGCAAAAAGAAAGCAAAATAACAATGAAAGCCAAACCAATTTTCAACTTCCCGTGGGTCAGGAAAAACGGAGAAAACTATATTACAGAAGAGTAGTAGGGGGAGTTGAATGGTATAAGTAGAAATTCGTCACATCTAGACTCACTCAGACAGCCGTCACACTCCCGGAAAAGCGCTGTACGTGCGTTTCTTCCTTCCGGGAGTCGTCTGAGTGAGTCTGGATGTGACGAATTTCCACCTATACCATTCAGCTCCCCCTACTACTCTTCTGTAATCAGTACGCAGACCAAACTGCTTATAATGCCATAAGTTACTTGACGTCTTAAGTTTGGTAAGCTCATCGCTTGGTGGTGGGCTACCCTGTCCTCTGCCCGGCAGTAACGTGTAAGTTAGTGGATAGTGAGCGGCGCTATATCACATCTAATAACTTATTCACGATGGTCGTTGCCGTCCCCCGTAGCTCAGTGGTCTTAACCACCTACTGGCAACAGTCGAGTTGCGGGTTCGAGCCCTCCCAGGGTCCGATGGAATGCGCACTGCTGACGATTCCGGAAAGGATGAAAACTATATTAGTGGATAATTCGATGGCTGATTTTGAAACACACGTGGTGTGATTGGATTGCGGCGTGCAATCCCAATATGGACCACGAGTTGCGTTGAGAGGAATCTTGGTCAATCCGATCACTGGGACTTCATAAGAAATGGATGATAGATATTGCCCGCCCAAAATACTGAATTCCGCAACCGCATTGGAACTTCTTCGATCTCATCAGCTGAAGGTGGTAAGCACTAGAAACCGGGGCCAGAACATCTACGCCATAAGCCACCGAGTCGCGGCTAGTGATGCGTGTCACAACAAAGACTGATATCTCTACCTGATGATATGACACAAGCCTTAAACTGGTGCTGGAGTGCCCAAGACGTTAAGCATACCGCTGCCTACTGCTTCCTTCTATGAAGGCAACCTTGAAGTCGTCATCGGGAAAAATGCGTTGCTAATCTTCTACTTGGGCGTTCTGTTACCAATAAAGATAGCAATGTTCTGGAGAAACAGATTTTTAACCGCATCCCTTACTGCACTCCAGCACTGTAGCTACAGGTAGATTTCGTGTCGGCTGGATATTTTCAGACAAAGATGGCCGAAAGAGGACCCAAACATGGAGCAAACTAGTTAATATCAGGTGTTTTCACCAATAATCCAAGGAGATAAACTGTCAACGCTTGTCAAAAAGGTTAGGGACTGAGCAGTTTCCTTGACAGCTGGTGTTGGGGTAGTGGTTCGGCTTCCTGTACATGATCAGTGAAGATAACTACGAACATGATTGAAAGTGTCAAACCTTTGGGTGGAGAATATATTCACTCAAGGTGCTCTAAACGGACCATATGTATTTGGCAGGCGTTATCATATCTAAACCGGGCCACATGTGTCCTATGTCAAGAAAGGTCATAGTAGGACGTTTCGCCCCCTCGGGTTCCTTTGGCATTGAGCGTTCACTAGACTCGTTGAGGGCCTCAAAAGAGCTGTCTACTTTGGTACAAGAAAACTTTGGGTTTTGGGCTCCATTTGGCGCATACAGTCAAATTAAAGTTTTTGCACACCACTTTGCGCAGAATATAATGTTCGCCCAGAATGTAGTCCAAAGGCTAGAAGTTGACATAGGTCACAGCACCAGCAGCGATTTGCCAATATTTTGAGCTGATACCTTCCTACCAGATAGACGATGCGACTGCTCTTCTCTGAATCCCAGTTAAAGAGGTAGGATTTAGTGCTGAAGCACAGCGCGACCTTGGTACATGATCACTCCTTATTTGTTCTGTCCGCATCCCCGGACGTCGAAGACCGATAACGGGATGATACACTGGGAGTATTTAGTTGGATGGAAGCTCACCGGCGCTCATTTCATCATTGTGTTAACCTCCATGAAAACCATTCCAGTTCACACCAAACCGAACTACTAGACTCCGACTACACAGATTACGTGTCGTTCGTTCGTGACTATGAACTCAAAGATCAATGTCATAGTTTCAAATATCAAAACTGAAAAGCAAGTCCAGGAATTAGAGGCTTCGGCTGAAGTCTGCATGCCTACGCGCGACTTCGTATTACTAGTGCCAAGTACTCCGCATTCACTATGGAGTAGAACCAAGCATCCGTAAGATCATTAGGTCGGCATCTTGTTATCTCATTGACATGATAACCCGATTAGGAAGGTTAGCCACTTTAAGACTTTCTGGTCATTAATGGCGAAGATAGATCATCGCCTCTAGATTTCACCGAATGTCGCATGAATTTCTACGGAATTCGCTCCATGCAGATCGATAGTGTGCTTCTGTGGACAACCCAAGCAGAAATTGGTGTCCCTCTCCTCGACCGACCTGGCCAATGAGGCTGAATTTAGCCTACCGTACACGTTCCCATCCCCACGAGTGCACAGTGTGCCAGGGATGTGCCACCTTCGATCAGATAAACCTAAAGTGCGCCTGTGGTGACCACCAATCAGAGCGTACCGCTCTGGAATGCGTTGGGAGCACAGAGGTGACACGGTCGTAGAAGAGGCGCACAACTGTGCAGACTTGTCAATACCAAGAGAGAGGGAGAGAGAGGGCATGTGTAAAGGAGGGTGCAGTGCTGGCAGCGGGGAACAAAAGTGGGTGTACCAATTGTCTTGGGTTAGAAAAAACACGGCAGTTGCTGCGACTTGTACAGGCGCTAAAGCAACAGTTCCCACAGACAATCGGGGATCGTGGCAACAACTGTTAACGCCTTTTTGCTCATCCGCCAAGCAGAATAGTGGTTGAATGTAGACTTCGGATAACGATAACAACAGGCTCGCACCTTGTCAAGCGTTGTCCATCAGCGGTAGTAATCCCGGCACATTCCACTGATATTCTTGGTTCCAGGGTGGAATTACCGATTTCAGTCAGTGTATTCCCCAGTTCAATTAGCGCGTGTCAGCGACAGGATTGAATTAGACGCAACAACTGTTGGCTAACGCAATTCCATCGATTTGCCGCGTTTTTCCAAGCTCAAGTCGAAGCCTACTGAAGTGCACTCTTTTGCAAGTCACATAGTAAAGAAGAAAAACGGACCGCGGCCACCCACCCAGCATTGCGTGCATTAAATTTCGAGTGTGCGTACGCGCGTCCTTCGGGTCTAATTAGTTCGCGAACGCTTTTGCTGAACCAACTGATACTGAACGGGCAGCTGTTCAGTCTGTAGTAATCCAGCAGGAATCAAGAGCAACAGTCGTGTTTCCTCGTCGTACGAAGACAGCCCATTTTGAGAAGGAAGCGAAGTAGGAAAAAGTATCCGCCTGGGATTTTTGACAAGACACTTTGGACAACGGCAATTGTTCGCAACAATCACGTGATCTCAGCATGATTGGCGAATACCTACAACAACAGTTGCAGTCAGTGGGAACTTACACAATCAACCATGATGTATCTAGCTCTGTCCTGACTTGTCCATTTCAACTAATCAGTTATGGTAGACAGCCGTTTGAATGTGGCGATGTTTCGGCCGACGTCACCTCCGACCCGTACTCGCAATGCCACCCCTCCGAAGAGAAAGGAAAACATAATTCAAACGAAGCTTATTATACGTCCAACAACTCATTGGCACAAAATCAGTACGCTTACTATCCGCCCACTGCATTCGATAATAGGTCGAGTAAATTAACTTCCTCCACTGAAATATCGAGTGGCTATGCTGTGCTCGCTTCTTGTGAAACCACCACATCACCCAAGGTGGCTGGAATGGGTTATGCCGCTAGTCAAAGTCTACAACGAAGTTTTTCCAGCCCAACTCAAGCGGAACAAGGAGGGGCTGCCAAGGATACCATGCTACACAAGATACACCAGTTCGACCAATATGCGCAGTTCGCTCGGGCTGCTCCTTTTCGAACACTCGTCAGTCGTCTAGTAGGTAATGGTGAGAGGCAATATTCACCAGCCCAAACATCTGACGCTAATGACTGTATTGCATCGCATACGTTTGCGAACAGGGCAGAGATAGAGAGCAAAAAATCTGGTGATTATTTTGAGGATACTCCGTCAAGTACAAACACCCCGAAGATGTTACAAAATTACTCCATGTCCAGCGAATACACACCAGAGAATGCACACCCACTTTCGAAAGTACAAGCACTCTCAGGTCGCCAAAAGATCAACCAATATGTGGATCCCACTTACACCCCCATGTCTACAAACAGTATTGAAGAGTTGAGGTGTGCGTTTTCCGGCCAGACGCAAAACCAGCTGCTGAGCGAATGGATTTGTGAACCAACTAACAAGGCTTCGGATGCGGTGGACTACGGTGGGGACCATGTGTACAAAGGTTTTCCCCACTCCCGTGCGGCAGCAGGCATCAACATGCACGCTTCTCCTGAACAGGAGTTTAACCACCCGCAGCAAACGTCGATGGTTTACAGTACTCCGTTCAACAACTTGCCAGTAGATGTTCAAGTCCAGTTATTGCATCCGGGAACTTCTCAAGCTTTTCTCCCTTCACCGTATACTCCAGTAAGTCACCACCATGCTGTACAACAGCAGAGCACGAAGCCCCCGATACCGCCAGTTATTAAAGGTCACGGAGTGTTAGACAGCTCCTCAACATCATCGGCGGCTTCCAGAGGGTCTGGTTCACTAGGTGAGACGTTCAACCTGTCCACTGATTCGCACGGAACATCACAGTCTCTGGGAGAGGAGATGAATAAACATCTGCAAGCGTACATGTTTACCCAAGTTGGATGCCTTGATTCAACCCTCCCCCTCACATCCACTATAATGGAGGAGAAATCTCCCACGTTGGGCCTTTCAGAACAGCCTTCCAACGGAATTGCTGCAGTTGATCATACAATTTCAAATGACCTCGTCAAGACCGTTGAACCCGTGGCGCCAAAACCTCGTGTTGCTTTACGCAACAAAGACCCAGGACCACGCAAAAGAAGTGGTGTGGGGTATGCAACCAAACGGTCTAGGACACCGTCGATGCTTGGTTCGATGGCAGAAAAGCGTAGCAAAGTTGATGGGCAAGACTCTAACACCAGTAGCGGGATTCGTCTCAAAACAACCGGAGTGGGATTGCCAAGCGCGCAGGGTTGTCGGGGAGGAGCGCAGAGACCACAAGTGTCCGACAGAATCCCATCCACAGACGAGCACGATACTGACAGCTTCGCGGATTCCGAGTCGGATGGGGAACTTGACGAAGTCAAGGTGAGTCACAATTTCAAATAAAGTCATAACGTGGTTTCGTTTGTATCCTTGATACGGTTGTGCCCAGAATGAGGATTAATTTCAGGTTCATGTGGGTGTACTCTTTCTCATATCGTTTTGATTGTGAATAGGAGACGCACAACCACGGGACTAGATCATTAGTAGTGTTCAGCGCACCAGTTAACCATATGTATAGTATGCTGCAATATGGAGTTCTTTATCAAGTCCAATAAACATTTCTTCTTGGTATTTCGATGACTGAACTTAACGGCTACTTACTACTTTGAGCTCGTTCATGAGTCACTGATCCCAGGGGAGGCGATTGACACCTCCAGGTTCGACGTCTCAGTTCGTCACTTGGCTTTCAACATAACATTTGCTTTTATAGGGTACACTGATTGAATATCTCCAATCAACCAGATAAAACTACTAAGGTATCCACAAAACGTGCTTCTCTGTCCCAGTAGTGACGGAAAGAGAATTGGATGATAAACCACCCTTTGCTGTTTGGTGAACAGCGTGTCTATTAGGAATCTGCTACAATAAAGCACTTTGGTGATGGAAACGCATAATTACCTCATTTTTGGCATTTCTCGAGGATACCGCCTCAGGATTTTCAATCTGTCGTTATGAGATAAGCCCAAGCATTGGTTCAGCTGCATTGGTTATTGTACATGGTATGGTTTCTTTGGAACTGCTGTGATGTAATTCTTAGCTGTGTGTTAGTTCTGATGTGTATTTTCGACTTGACAAACACACTACCGATGGGAACGAGTCTAGGACCTAGCTTTAAACGTAGTGAACTGTTTTGGGTGCTCAAAGGCTGCGTGCCTTATTGCAAATTCTCCCCAGCAGCAAAAGTTGTCCCGTTGTGAGCGCTTCCTCTTGATTATGATTACTGCTATGTTGTAGCTTTGCTCGGTTATTGTGCTAGAGATGACACATTCACATAAATGCAATCTCTGAAGTTCTTTTCGCTCCATATATATCCATTTCAGATTACCAGTAGGGCTTCTAAGTGGATACACACCATAATTTTGAAAAGAAAATGGATCGGCTCATTGTAAGCGAGCCGTAACCTAGGATGTCAGCGCTTAGGAACTATCTTGCTATTTGTCACCGAATAGCAGCTTTGTGCTTGGTAATCTATTGCCGAATTGATCCTGATCGCTGACCTCATTCTCACCAACAGTACCACCTACAATTCAGGTATTTTGTACTAAAGGTAGTCCCACTTTTCTTACTTATGTTGAATGAGAAATTGGAAGGCGGCGACTTATCATGTGACCCCAAGACGTTGCAATCAAATATGCACGACAGAGCTTCCGACGCTACACGATCGTAGCACCTTAGCTAATGTACGGAGATTAGATGGCATAGGATACAATAATACACATTGAAACCGTCCCCATGCACCAATCAGCCGGGTGGTTCAACCGTGAGTGACAGAAAGCGCGCCATTGACGCTAGTCAGTTCAGATCCGATAGTGCCGCGATCCAAGTACGGGAGAACCTACATGCACAGCAGTTCAGAAAGCGATACTGACCAACGTCATTCGAGCGGGAGATTTCATTGTCCGCCATCGAATACTTGATTCAGCCTCCTCTTGCGATATGCCATCCTAGACCCAGCAAACTGTAGTTAGCGAATGAGCGTACGTACTGTCGCTGTAACAAGCTACAGAATGCAAGCCATCTGTTGCGAGAGTACTTCCCACAGTTGCGTTACCAAAATGGGTAGATATAATGGTGAGCAACGAGCGGCCAAATGAATTTCTTTATGACAACAGGGCGAAACGACCAAATCCCTGGGCGGGGCTCAAGGACTTGGCGAAGGTGTCAGGGAACAAGTAATCGATACTTCTCCACTGCGTCTAAATGAAATGCAACCCAAAGAAAGTAGTTCGTGATATATAACGGTAACAAGGCTGGCAAAGTTGGAGGAAGGAGAAGAACGTCCGGCACAAGTTCTCCACAGTAATTCACAGAGTCACAGGTACCCATTGCGAGGCAAATGCGAACACATGTACTCTTCGATTTAGGCAGGGGTCACATACGGGTCACAGCTAAACCCGAGTGTTTCACTTTATGGATAACCCTGTGGAAGACTAAATGGATGTGTAATGCTTCCGTAATGTTTGTTTTTAGTTCCGATTTCAACAGGTCAACTATAAACGTTAGTACTCTTGTCTAAAAGAATTCTCGGTCGACCGCTGTTTCCACTGAAGGAAGCAATGCACTGACCGTTTAATCCATTGGTCCTTCATGGTTGTGCGTTCTGATCCACTTTCCCCATTACACGTGGAGGTGGGTGGCAAATGCATGGCAGTGTTGCTCTTTTCGCTCCACTCCATCCATGTGATGCGTTCTGTGCCCGTCAGACCCATCGATCAAGAGCTAGCTAATCAACTGCGCGTGTGTACACATATGTAGCGGATAAGTCTAATTCGTTTTCCGGTTCACCGAACGAGTACTTCCAATCGGGCCACTTAAAGTATCCCGCAGTGCGAAACCGCGTTTATCAGACAATCCACCTGTACGAAGTTCATGTTCCAACTTCTTCGGTTGATCAACCATGATGACAGCAATGTGGGGGTGGAGCAGTCAGACCATTAGATGAATGAGGCTCATCTCTGCCACAGCGCTTAATCCAGGATGAACATATTCCCACTAGCATTTGCCCTGCCGAAGTTGCGGCGTACAAACGGAACGGTGGTAAATGGAACACCAGACACGGGGGTTGGGTTTGCCTATGATCGACAGGTTGCACACCTGTCTGGATAGAGGGTTGGGAGAACACAAGCAACAAACGAGCTCGTTGTGCCGTGCTTGTATATGCTACAGAAGCGCTCAGAGTTAATCATGCGACAGAAAGGTGCCGAACTGGAGTTTCTCGACCAGAGATAAATTTGACAAAAGTCGCTACATTAGTAATCGTGTTAGTTGAACGAAAATTTGAAATCCAATACAAATTTGTCCTTCAAGCAGTAACATTTGGCTTGGGGAGTTCGGATAACTTCAGCGATGCTCTATGTATGTCTCCGTTTCACTCGCTGGGTGCAGTTCAACACTATGCGCGCTGCCTCTACTCGATGAGATGACTTAGGCGGCGAACAAACCGCCTGCCTCCACCGTGACTGTGTTACTAATCACCTATGCACCCGGCTTCACTGCTACCATACGTGGGCGGTATTTTCTTGGGAAGGACGAGATTGGGTCCAGCGGAATACGCTTCCCAAAGTCGAACAACCAGTTGTGGCATCATAACTGCTATCATGCAGAGTGTTGTTTGCAGTACTGTGCCTATCCAGATCGTATCGTCGGTCTACATCACTGATCATCCATTACTAATCAGTTTAAAGTTCAGTAAATGAATTATGCATGTGCCTGCCGATACAAATGGAATAATTGATCGAAAGACAGCCTGACAGTCACCGCAATGTAAGAAACGATGAAAACTATTGTTTCATTTTATGAAATTGTAGTAAGTTTCACAGTTCATCTACTCTAGCAGGATTCCTCTCCTGTAGCTTTGTTACATGCCTCTAAAGTCGTCCACGATCCAGTGGCTTACATCAGTGTGAGTTCGAAACCCACTTAGAAAATGTGGAAAGTAGAAGACTGATACTAAGGAACAGCTGTCCAAAACTTTCGGCCGTGGCACAGAAAATTTTCAGAAATCTGAAGTGGAATGAGTCACTTTAATCCATTGTTTATTATTTGAGCATCGCTTCCACTCGTATCCGAACCAAATTGTGGTAACAATGCTGTGTTTAAAGTATCACCACGTTGTCTGGTGTAGTTTCAAAACTGTCCGGTATGTCCGATGGAATAATTCGGACGCTAGGTTTGTTGCACTACGGTACTATACCAACAGGACGTCCGCCTTTAGCTTTCCGTTCGAAAAACCATTGCTGATCGATGTCGGCAAAAGACAACTGTCCTTCCGCAGATGCTACTGCCCACTTCCTCGCGTTTTTGCACACGCACACCTACACTCACACACACAGTGCGATTATGAAGACGACGAAAACGGTGGTGGGGAGAAGGACGGTGATGACAACAAGGAGAAAAATAGCATGTAGTTTTCTGCTATCTCCCTCTCTCTCTCTCTCTCGGACACATTGGAAAGTCACCGATACATACTTGTAAAGCATGACCGCGCTGCATGCGACGCAAGCTTTAGTAAGCAGACCAAACAGCTGACGCAAAATGATCACTCTCAACTTTGGGTAGTAATTTGAACTCGGACGGAAGAATAAGTGCGGAGAGTCGGCAGCGTAAATCTGTTGTCTCCACGTGTAAACTGTTGTGCAAATCTGTGTATGTTTGTGTACGCACACACACACACACACACACACACTTAGTCGTTGGCACGCCCTTTAGGTTCAATCTGCAAGGATTAGTTGCCAAGTTGTTGTAATCAGACACACACTACTTTCACTATAACACACTTCTGGCACGCGTACGCTGTCGTGATCATACGCGACGGAGTAGCTGGGCAGTGAATTACCAAAGCGTGTTGTTCATGTGTGACTAGCGAGGCTAATGGGTGCGGTGTCTTCCAACCACACGACAAGCACGGACTCGGCTGGAATCCTTGTTGCAAACGGGGTTGGGGAAACAGTGTCCTTTAGAACCCGACGAATGCGATGACAACAGCAAGTCAACGCAATCGGTTACTAGGTCCGACACGTGGTTACACATTTTGCGCACGATGGTGCTACTAGCGCTGGGAATAGGTAAAGGGCACAGCATATATTGCAGGTTGCATGGCTGTTTCATGAACATGGTCCGTAATGTTGCAATTTAAAACAGTCACACCTCGCCTACTCTGTACATGTTGTTTGGTAAATTGAAGCGGTAAGTCCCGTGACTTTACTTCAGATAAGAAGAGTAGATGTGAAGATCAGGGAATGTGTGAGGCTGTGAGATGAACACAGCGTTCTTTGCTTGTCATAATCCGGACATAACCATGGATATTTTTGCTGTATTAAAACAAAACAAGAACACTGAACCATTAAGGACTAATAAGCATTCTTTTATGAGTAACGGTTTTGACGGTTACCTAAATTAGTGTACTCTCGAAGCCCGTGAATTTAGATGTTTACTCACGTGCAGCTTCGATTCGCCTGAAGTATTGCATATTGGAGTAAATCAATGGGGACGGGAATCGCAAAACTATGTTAACAAGAGCCGCAGATTCCAATATTACATTCGCAAATCTAGGTGCGCTGAAACTTGAGCACCTGCATTGTCGCAATCGGGACAGAATGCTCTGGTGTTATCTAGCGAAAATCAAACTTAGATTTAGTGATTTTAACGAAATCATATAGATTGTGTTTCTGAGGTTCCCGAGAGAGTAACATTATCATTAACCTTGCTTGTGATGTTTTCTAGAATAATCCTGAATATGAGGTGTATAGGTTCACTTTGTTAGACAATAAGATGACCCGGGTTTCTACAGCAGTGTAAAATGACTAGGGTGTGGCGTACAACACCACTCCTGAGCTGGCTTGTGTTTGCGTTCACTCCGTTTTCTGCCGTATATGGTGTTGGTCTATTGTAATGTCTATCCTTTATTCAGGTCAGAGGTGTAGCATAGAGGAGGCGGGGGCGATGGGTGCGGTCAGCCCGGGCGGTAGGAGGCAGGGGGCGGCATTTGTAGTACCGTCGATTGTTCGATACCGAATATAAAAGGCAAAATATCCGGATAAGCTGAAGGTTGAAGACTTTAATCTTACCAAGTATGACCAACAACACATTTGCGTCATGTGTCATACCTGTACAAACCTTCTTCCCAGCGATTCCCCTACTTGTCCCATTGTAGTCAGTTGCACCACCTTTACCTCAGTGCCCCAACGATCATCCAGTTCATGGAAAACTAATACCCACGTTACAATAATTCGATTATATGACCTTCATGTGTCTATTCTGCTATCACTCAGGGCGGAAATTCTACCACTGCCCAAGGCTGCAAAAACAGTTGCTACGCCACTGGCTCAGGTCTTGGACCTAATGACACTACGGTTCATTTACAGGTCACCAAATAATGAACCAGTAAGCCAATTGATTGCACATATTATTAAAATGGTAACAGTACATGGCTGCACCTGGTTGACCTTTACTGTGGATGAAGAAATGAATCGAGCGCGTGACCTTCATTGCCTGTGCCATCTAATCTACCACAGCTGGTGAACTATGTACAACCCATAGAACGTTATAAATTGCTTTACTCATGGACATCTCTGGTGCGTTGAGAAGTTCAACAGGATGCTAGGCCTTAGTCGTCTACTTGGGTTGATTGAGACTTCCGTGAGTGGGTAACGTAGGACTGTCAAAGCTAATAGAATCAGATGCTTGGAAGTATCAACAGTTTCAAAGCCAAGCAAATTCATGCGTAGGATGGTTGAAAATGTAACATGTTGATTAGGTTACACAGAAATTGTAGCCGAATTCTTCGGTCACGTGTTTAACCACCGTGCCCAAACATGCAAGACAGTTACGTCCAGTTCAGATACCCTGCGCCAACAACAGTACATTGTACAGGCGTGTGACCACATGAATGGGTTAGAACATGGCTACGGTGCGCAGCTTCGAGATAGAGTGAGCCAACCTTCACCAAAAGTACAATTTCGAGGTAGGATTACATTTTCTAACTGGTGCACTTGTTCCGTCCGTCACTTGGTCTCACACGCCGTCGTAATTCGATGCATCCGTTTTTAGACACGAAAACTTGGCAATTAGATTGTACCGCTGGGTTCACCGTTTGCTATTCCAATCATACGGACTGTGCACACTAACGTGTGCGATTCCCAGCGCGCAACTACCGTTTTTACTTTTCGCATCAAGACATGGGGAAGTAGGTCTTGCTGTAACTTTTAGGTAATAGCAGGCATACGGAAAAACTAAGGTGACATGTAGCGCTCACATTGCGAAATTACTATAGTTGCATATCTATCACACCTCCCAATAATCCACCAAATATACGAAGTTCGTTATTTCAGTGCTGTTTTGGGCCAACCTCAATAATTGTACATTTTCCGTCTATTCTATGCAGGAGGAGCACGTGATAGTCCCCGGATCCCATGGCCAATGCTTACTGTGGGCTTGTAAGGCATGCAAACGGAAGACCATGCAGGTGGATCGTCGCAAGGCAGCGACGATGCGAGAACGACGGCGTCTGCGGAAGGTAAACGAAGCATTCGAAACACTGAAGCGGCGTACTTGTGCCAATCCAAATCAGCGTATGCCAAAAGTGGAGATTTTACGCAATGCGATTGACTACATCGAGAATTTAGAGGAAATGTTGCAACACAACGGAGTATTGCCGCTCGGAGTATCGCCGTTGACCTCTGCACTTTCAGCGAATTCCATGGCAGCCAATAAGTCCAAAAACCGTGATGATCAAACTCGTGAGAACGGTACAGTCAAAACACCGTCGAGGTTGAACGACCCTCTCAAATCTGCGCTTTCCTGTACCGGAGGTCCAAGTGCTAGATCAAGTGGAAGGAACAGAGCGGGTAAAGGTACGGTGCCAAACCACTATACAACCGCAGCGTCCGGTTTGATTTCCACTGAATCCTGCTCTCCAAATAGAACCACCTATGTGACTCCGAACTTGAACGGTATTTGTGAAAAGCTTGGTCCCCATGATGTTGCGCCGAAAGAGAATGCAGCTTCCGAGCCACACAATGATAGCTTCTACGTCAGGCCACTGGCGCCTGGATACACAGCCGGGACACCACAAAAGGTTGGTTTCTGTCTTGCTTTTAGTCAACCAACAAGTTATGTACAAAAGAATCTCTGTTGCATAAGCGTGCTACTTGAATTCTTCAAATGCGAAAGCAGTCTTTAAAGTTGTTCGTGGTTAGGTAACTAATTGAGGTAAAAGCAAAGTTAGCAGCATGGCAAAATACCGGCTAATGTCACAAAATGAGGCGAATCACAGATGTAGGTGGTAAGCTCTACCGCAGTGCACCATTCTACTCATATTGTGCTGCCACACGGAAAAGTGTATTTGCATTAATTTCGTGTGACGTGTGGAGTACCACATGAGTGTTTGGATTGCGATGCGAAAGCTTAACTTGAACCTTGCTGAATTGAATCAAATCGAAAACGTTCATTTCACGTGGAACAGAGAAACTGTGTTAAGAACTTACAATTCGATCACCATGACTGTGAGCATGACAGATGCACGCCAGCGATATTGCTCCCCTCCACTGTACTCTACGACAGGTTTTACCGCTGTTTCGACGTATACGATGAGATTCAACGAACAATGAACAATGACGTATAGAGTGATTGCTCATCGTTCGCCGAGAAGCGACGATTTACAAGCCCCGCTGGTTGGTATGCTGGGTTATCGAAAAACGTTAGTGAAACATAGAGTTAGTAATTTTATTGTTAACAGAATGGACCTATCACTTTTACAATGAAATATCCCTGCACTCCGCTTAGTTTCACAGAACGAATAGACGACAAATGATAAAATCAAGGTATTTCCCCGGAGTAGGAGAGATAGTGCTAGGTTGCAAAGTGGCTAAGTGGTTAAATGCCTTGCCCAACCGACTTTTAAGTATGGTCAGTCTAGGTACAGAATCGACAGATATGGGGAGAGTGATTCACGGGTAGCACACGTGAATAGAAAAGAATTTTCTGCGGTACTCTAGACAGCTGTGCTGTTCTACTACTTTCAGGGGGTGACCTCACAAGTTTGTGTTACTGTTGAGTTGCAACAGAGACCAGTATACATACTTTGGATTTTGCAACATTAACCTTGTCATTATCAGTTCGTCTCGTAATCGACAATGCCCTCCGTGGAATATCCTCAAACGTTTCACTATTTGCTCGTATTGTAGATTGCGAATTCTAGTGATATGTTTGGAAGTCCGACGTTGAGGTTGGTCCAGTGCAGTGAGGTCGCGCTTCAGCTATGGCTATCAGGCTTGGAATGCGCATTCGACAGGTGCGAACATATTCACCGAACATCTATCTGAAAATATAAATGTCAGTTTGTCCGGAAGTCCGTCGCAAGATACCGACGTGTTAATGACCAGTTTCTGATGCGTTTTCTTATTGCCACGGACCACCTAAATTAGCTTGAACTAACACGGGCAGTTCGCATAGCAAGTAGATCTGAACGAACAGTCTCGTGGCCATCCATCGATTTTCTTTTTGCCCAACTGCTATACTTTATACATCCGGTACCGCTGCTTAGTGTGGATGCTCCAGAAGTCTCCAGTACGAATCTTAAAGGGTAGTTTTATCATGGAGCTCGCTAGCTTGGACCCTCCTAGTAAATCGAGTGTGCAGGCTTCTTGTACTTGTATGTCAATGCGCAGCTAACTTGCAACGGTCGTATGAAAGTCAATTGATCGCAAACTTGAGCTTACCATGTAAACAGTCGTCGCCATGTTGCCTCGAGTTCGCCTGTTAACGACTTATGAGATTGCAGCTGGAGTGTGGACCTATTCGGAAATATTTTGGGTCACCATCCACCTGATTTGAAGCCCTATTGTTATCATGCACGGCTGATGGTGCGCATCGGGCACGAAAATTTGGGTGGAAACTTACTGTCCGAGAAGTTTGGTTGTAATTACTTGCCAATGTACCTATGCGAAAACGCACGCAACTGTAACGACTAGTATGTCAAATTTGGACCCACTAATAAACCGGAATTTGTGACATAGACAGTGGCGCACTGGCTTTGCTCTTTGAAACCTAGACTGTTGATGCTAGAACATTGGGGTGGTATTGCCCTGCACTACCTACCCAATAAAGTTTTCATCCAACTTTAGTAACTTCGGAAAGGATGAATTATAATCTTAACTGGTTTTCAGTTGCTTTAAATTGTTTGCGGGGTCGGTTTGATACGGTCTGCACTTGTCGGGGGCTATCGGATGAATCACTATGCCTGCAAGTAGGTAAGAATCGGTAATAACCCAACCTGGTCAACATTACTGCACGATATTTGGTAACACAGTGGGCAACTGTTCATCAGTCGAACTCAAGCTCCTCCGCTGTATGGCAATAACGCGCATTTTGTCGGAGGATAAGCTGTGTCGTCACCCGGAGGTCAACGCGTTCAGCCTCTACCAAGCAAACGGATGGCTGTGCACTAAAATTAAGTGGTTATTAATTTAAACGCGTCAAGCTGACCAGTTGATATAAAACCTACTGGTTATTCAAGTATGTTCCCAAAGTCCAATGAATCGTTGACTGATAGTCAGCATCGATTTACCTTAACGTGTACTACTTTTGTATGAGGTCGTGCTGCTTCGGATCGCTTTGAGCAGAACGAACGCTGGCGAAGCGCACCTGCGTTATTTCCCACTTACCACTCAGCCTCTCTCTACTTCTCAATGTCCCCCAAGTCAAAAAGAAGAAAACAAATGGTTCTGTTTTAGAATCCGACTCGGAGAAGAGGGGCTATTGACAGACCAGAGGCTTCTACTGGTAAAACGTTTCCTCTTATCCCATCCACAGATCTGTCGCGCGGCAGTGAATGTGTGTGCCCTCGCGCTAGGGTCGCATTTTCGTGGTTCCATCAAAGTTTATTCATTTCATACAATGGCATAGCTGTGGATCTCCGATGGTTTTCCACGCGGTTGCGACTGGTGATTTCTTTCCCACTGCTGTGATTGCGGTGCACGGGGAAGGGAAAAACGGCAGCAGCGCGATCCCAGGCGCTGATGGCACAATGTTTATGGTCCATAGATATGTACACGTTTCCGATGTGGCCCCTCTCATCAAACTCTGTGGCATTCGCAGTTGGCAGGTCAATTATGCCTCATGAGACCACGAGGTCGCGCATCAGATAACTGAAAGATCAGATACGTGAATTGACCGCTGAGGAAGGTTAGCGAAATATGGGCACAGGAGGAAGTGGAGGAGGAGGAGGAGCGGAAGAGATTGTTTGGCGAATGTATCAAACCGGTCCTGTCAAACGGACCGCGCTCAGATCACTTGTCTCAATTGGATCGCGCGAAGTTGTGGCGACGCGAACGAACTGGGGAACAGGTGTCCCAGGCTGTCAACCCAGTGTTCCCCGAGGATCTCAAAATCCTCTTTACGGTTCGCTAGCATGGCAGCGAATTTGAAGTATGAGTGTATAAACGAATAAATGATCTATGGCGATGTGGTCATAATCCCAGTACCCCGTACACTGCGACCACTGCGGCTACTAAGTGCTTTGCCAGGTGAACTAGCGAAACTTTTGCCCCCCCTTCCCACCCATCCATACCCAGGTCTGCGATTGCTATCAGGCTGTCTATATCAGAAGAATTCGTGATCGTTGATGTAGAGCAATCAGACGAGAGAACTGTGGATAAATGGGCGCGCGCTGATGGGCAGGTGGTTTGATGCAGCTCGCGAAATAGTGGCAGAAAGTTTCCCCATCGAGGAAGGACGATCAAAGAGAAACTCGCCAAAAGATTGAGCTTCCGAAATCCCCGAGTTGATGCATGGATTCCTCGGTGGCTTACCCGCAACTATGCTCTCAAGCATATTTTTTATTTAACTCCCGCAACCTGTTGGAATGTAATGTTTACAATCTGCTCAGATTAATCACTTCATCCTGCTTTCCTTACTTCAGCAAAGTTTCCATTAAGTTCCTCAGTGTCTAGTTTAGATTTAGCGCGCTTGGAGGCGAAAGATTTCATTTCGTCCCCAAGAAAACAGTATCGTAAGCACCCATTACCTGTTTCCAGCCGAAACGGCTATTCCCACCTGCCAGTCGTTTGCTCAGCGCAGATAGGGTCCAATTGACCAATGCGTATGATAATTAGCCTTGTACCATGCCTTGTATTCGATCAATAGGCGAGGAAGGTTACTGATTAGCCGACAAAACAGTCAATCGATCGGTTGGCCGGATAATTGGATGCGAATGAGGAACCGTTATTTCTATCCGCATTCACACCGCCGAATCACGAGTACCTAATTTTCGGTTTATTGGTTTGTTGTTTCGATTATCTGAATACTAATTACTGAAAATAGACAGCTAGGAGACATACGTCTGTGTTGTTGCATCCTAGTTACTTGAAGCACGTGCGCGGAGACACCTCACTGATTCAGGTGCGGTACGCCCCCTAAATTTGAAATCCGTAAAGTGGGCGTCTAGGACTTTCTTGAATTCCAACATTGACTTCGCCTTCACTAGTTACTCGGGCAGACTGTTCCAGTATTTCACCATTCGACGCGCGGAGCATAGAAGGTGAGATATGCGCTTTAGGTCCGATACCGACAGCTTGTACCGGTGCCCGTGAGTGCTGCTTGGTGCGCGCATGTGAAACAGCCGTCTCAAAATGGGGAAGTGACCGAGATACAATATCCGGTGCCTCATAACCAGATCAAATCTAAACCGACGATACGATAGGGTGTACAGCCCTAGTCGTCTGCATCGGTCTTCGTAGGACATACCCCGTAAACTGGGGATGAGACTGATAGTCACATACTGAACACGTTCGTTTTTGCACCTCACCACGTGTGCTTGGACAACAGGCGGACGATCCGTACTAGAGCATCGGTTTTATGATGGAAGAGAAGAAGCGCACGACAGTCTCTTCAGACCAAATGCATTAACTGCGTTTGAGCGCCCAAAACATACGCAATCGGTTTCCATATAGCTTATTTGTGTTTTATACGGACTTCAAATCACAACGTGAGGGTAGACCGAGATCTTTCAAGGAGGGTGTTGGATGTAGCAATGAACAACACGTAACCAAACCAAAATTCGGCCACTGTGACAGTATCTGAAACAGTGCAAGGTGTTGCTCGGTGCAAACACCGTACATCTGCACCGGTTTGCACTGTTCATTTTGGGGTAACCGGGCTGTACAACCGGAGGCATCTAGAGTAGGTAGAATTCCATCCCATCCAAACTCAGTCAGACAGTCATCACACTCCCAGAAACTATACAGCAGGGTGAGGAGGCTACCCCTTCCTCTGCACGGCAGTGACGTGTAATTTGGTGGATCGCGAGCGGCGCTATATCACACCTAGTAACTTAGTCACGACGGTCGTCTCCGTCTCCACTACCTCGGTGGTCTTAACCACAGATTGTTAATAGTCGATCTGCTAATCCAAGCCTCCCAGGGATCAGATGAAGCAGACTGCTGATCATTTGCGGAAGTATGGAACAGCGATACAGTGCCTTTCTGGGTGTGTGGTGCTGGTCCGACTGAATCTAGATGTGAAAAACTTTTATACCGTTCAATTACCCTAGCTACTCCATCGTAAGCGGTTAGCTTACTAGTAGACACTTTTACCATTGCTTCACAGAGCTCAACATTTAGCGGTTTCCACATCGGTTAGAGATACAACGATCATTTGTCTCAGAGCCTCTATTTTGTAAATAAAGTAGGGTGTTCAACCTCATCATGAGTCTTGGTGAATGTTGAAGGGAAGTTCCGTTAGCGCATTGGTTGGTACAATCTTGTGCTCAGTATGGTATAACATCATTTTCATCTAGTGTTCCCATTGGATCCATGTAGGTGCGTTTCATTGGAGCTATTTCCGCGGACCTAGTTCTCATTGGGAATGAGGTAGTTAGAGCATTTTCGGTGTTGCTGTCTTTCAATGCCGTTCTCTTCGACTGGATTCGGCCCCGCGTTGACCCTTCGGGTAAAGATAACGGTAACTGCATGTCGTATGTAGGGTTTGGTGGATACCAACAGATACCCTGCCATTACACCACGGAGCTCCGCGTTAAGCACCGTTACGAGGACTAGGGCTTGTGGTACTCGTCGAACGTTCGAATCACTACATTCATTCTTCATAGGAACTCCGATGGACTAGTAGAAAATATGACCCGATCCCCTCGATCAGTAGATCTTATTTGGATTGGCTACTTTCTAGAAGTCTCTAACCTCACCCAAAAGGCCACAGTCAGCTCGGGCCACATATGAAGAGTCAAAGAAAGAACGTGGAGGCTCACGAGGGATAGTGCTGTGAGAGAGTGATACCTCGAATATTCAAGCGTTCTGGGTGCATAAAGCACTTTCTTGGCTTGACTTGACTGACTTGAATCCAACTATTTCATTTACGGTGCAAGCTGTCTAAGCACCCAACTCTATTACAACACGATTGGTGATGCCAAATTGACGTGCTGCTGAGGAGAGCGAATAGCTTATAGCCATGGTCATGACCTTGCTCGCAGCCTGTTGTTTGTCTGCCTCTGAAGATAATGAGTCAGTTCTCAGTGATGTTTAATAAGGTTTGATCAGCTAACCAAAGGCGCGTTTATAACTTTGGTTTTGCCAAACAGAAGACGGTGTGCCCCATGCTGAGGCTGATGTCGCATTCATGATACTTTTCCACCGCAGTTGAGCTAAATCAACTTACACCTAAACTAGGCATTTTTAAGCTGGATAAAATTCATTCCACGTTATTTGGTTTGTTCTGCCTACCTGAATATTCCTCTATTAACTTGCACACGTTGCTTACGCTAATTGCGCTTATCTTCGGTAACTTTATTGCGTTTGAAGCATATTTCGACTAACTTGTGGACGTTTTGTACTTGTCGCTTATTCGTTGCTAACCAACTCAATTCATATGCTAATTTAGCGAAGAGTTATGTCCGCACAGCCGTATACTTTAACAGATATACTTTTTGATAAAGTTTATTCTAAGAGATTGACTGCTGCTTTATATCCCCGATGTGGCTGCGCTTGATGTGCATGTTGACAAGTTGCCTACCAGTCTAGTACCCACTACCTCGTACTGGCTCCAGAAGACAGTTGGTCGTTGCTGGAGGGGACGGGGTGCACGGTCCTTGTGGCAGTTCTAGGCTCAAAGATTGGTTCCATGCAATCAGTGTGAAACGGACTACGGTCCAGCCACTGCCTAGTATGCGCTTGGTTCCCAGATACAGCGTGCTTGTGTTTGCTTGTGAAGTAGTGTGGGCCGGCTCCGTTGATGAAAAGTGCTTCCCATCCACATGCCTCCCGGTCTTATTCCTTCGGGTTTACACTGGATATGTGGTGTGTGGTTGGACCTGTGGATGGTGCAGCGCAAGCTACCCATGGTCCCTGTATGGGCGCAGGCGTCCTGTGACTGGCCACAGTGACAGACAAGTCCGAAACCGGTTGACGCCAACCATAGAAGACGGGAAAATCCACAGTACAATCCTGAGTATCATGGCTTGAGTGTATAACTGGAAGAGGTTTGTAACTGTTTCAACCTATCATATGCTTTCAACCGCTACCCTCGACTAAAGTCCATTGCTGGGGGTAGTATAAACTGGTGCTTTAGGCTTTCGGACAATTAAGATGATGATGGAGTCCTTGTCAAGCACCCAATCATGCGGTGGGGCTGGAATGTCTCAGGCGACGCTGTGATATGAGTTGTCTGCACATATAGATCTTGTTCACCTCATCCTGTGTTCTCGGGCTCAACTCTAATATGGTACGAGGCCTTAAGGCCGCAACGGTTTAAGAAAACCTGTCACCTTTTGTAGAGCAAATATGAGAAACGTGATGTATCTTTGTTTGCTCCTAATGTGCCATCTGGTCCAAATTCTTCCGGTTTGCAATGAGTATGCATTTTTTAGTGGTTATGAAGTGCAAGCGCTCTGTAACCCACTTGTAGGGGCTGAGGATGTTACGTAAATGTTCGCAATTAAACTGGCACTAAGGCCAAGGAACTGATGACACTGCTTGCTAATACCGATCCTACTGCTAGTATCAATGCCAACTTCATTACTAAGTCGGCAGTATTGAAGTCCGGATGCCATGCTTGGAAAACAAACTGTAGCCTTCGTATATTTGAATGTTCCATTACTTTCCTATGATACACTGTGATGCAAGTAACTACGTGGACGATCGCTACTTAATCATGAGATATATAGACCAATTGGTGTCGAATGTTTAAGAACGATATGCGCTAGATAGCAAATATAGGAGTGATTTACCTCACTAACTGGGTAGAAGGAAAGTGTGACAAACCAAGCTGGAGTTATGTAACCTGCATCTTTTATCTATTTTCCAATTTTTCAGCAAGAGAACAAACCAATGGACATCAATCCGATGTATCAGCCTCCCTCCTGGAAGGCATGCTCTTCCTACATGAATGTAGAGGAGAACACACATGGAACCAATGCAACAGGAGGTAAGTGTGCGTATAATAGATGCCTCCAACGGTTTCTAGACCAGTCAATTCTGATAGGTGGCTAACCAGACGATTTTCTCGAGGTTCGAAGTTAAACTAACCACCGATTTTGCTTAAAAGGGAGAATTCATAGCAACTCTTTAACTGGCCCCATGTTCTGAAGTTAAGGTATCTATTGCACAGAATTGCCTATTGCAGGTTGCTGGCCGTTAAAGTTGTACAATCATAGAATTCTTTTTTCACGGCTTAGAGTAGTCTGTCGCAGTGTGCAAGAACAGTAGCCGAGCCACTAGCCCGTCATGCGGCTACACATATAATCATTCCCTCGTATATTGCTCAAGATCTTCGGATAATTTAAGAAGTACGATGTTGGACTAAATTACACTGACAAAATGGCTACAAATTTTCAAATATTAAAATACTGTCAGTCGAAAGTACAGTGACTTAGGCAAAATGAATAGGACAGCTTAAGAAGAAAATGTTGTTGATAATGGCTTTTGACTTCATCCTTGTTCAGCTCTCGCTGTCTTTGTGACAGAGGACTGTCACAATTCGTCAGCGGCCCACCGAGAGATTACAAGTGGTCGACGCTACAGCATTCTCAAAATAATTTGCATGTACATTTCAATTGTAAACCTGAGAGAATCACATTGGTGGGGCGGGGAACCGCACTCCACGAACACTAACACTACTGAGGTTGCATGTGGGTGGCAAACCCACTGTGCATTCAACTATGATGGCTGAGCCGTAGGTTATTCCATGACGGAATTCCTCTTTGGGCATGGAACCGCAACTAAAGCTTAGTGCCCTGTTTTCCTCCGCAACAATTAGCAATCGCCTACACCAAATAATCAAGACGTCAAGTCGGGTAAAATGACACGCTCTCGTGGTCGCATCTAGTTTACCCGACCCGATATCTAATAAGAATGTAGACTTCAATAATGAGTCAACGCAGTTCCTATCTTACCGGTATGGTTCAAACGAATAGACGTCGACTTTGATACATAAAAATCTACATATCTGATACACGAACATCCGACAACCTCGATGAACAGTCTCTTCGATGCAAGACTCTCATCTTGTCCTTCTGTTTGTATACTGTAACTAATTACGCATCACCGTATGATGTCGACTCTCTTAATAACAGGCTGTGTTTACAGTTCGCCACTGTCGAACAAACCCGGATCTGCACATCGCGCACATTCAGCTTTATTAGACGCATTGAGCGCCCGTTAGAAATCCTGCACATATAACACACGCGAGCTAGTTCTTAACGAATGTGCACCTAGTCGCCTGGCGCACTCCCATCCCATTCCATCATCCTGTGTACAAGACGGGTGTCGGTTAAACGGTACCACGCGTGATATTCGACGATTAATCGGCGGTAGTTCCCCAGGATCGACCACCTGACTTGTGGCGACAGTCGATGCATTAAGCAGTACACAAATGTAAGAGGTATGAGCACAAACGAAGTTGAAGCTCACTACTTGGGAGGTCACGTCCTACGGGGACAGTAGCTCAGACAGGGAGTTCGTCACACACACAAAAACTTATAAATCAACCAGTATAAATGGTCTTCCATGTGACCCCACATTAGTCCCACTTATTAGCCATGCATCAGTACATTCTCGCAGATCCCGAGAGACCATGCAAAAGGAATACGGGGGTTCAAGCGAACGCATGTTCTCTCATGTGTATTCTGAGAGGAAGGGTTGAGAGTTGGCACATATGGATAAGATCAGGCATTTCTGGCATTGTCCGTGCAACAGAACATGTTCTCGTTACAAGCACACTGTGGAACACGCATCAATCACTCGTACACCGGAACGCTATCGACCGTTATACTTTACCAGGCTGAGTCAGCAAATAGCGGTACATTCTTAGAATATGACCACGCCAATGCCTTAGCCACACTCTGTGCTACTTTGTACTGGCTGATTAGTCTAATAAGCATTGTTGGTTCATCCTTTAGGCCACACACATGTGGACAAACATTAGACGATTCGGTTGATGCACGCGGTGAATACCTGCCACTTAATCCATGCCAATCAAAAGTGCGTCTTGCCAACAAGTTTCACTGGCACTATGTATTAGGACAAACACATGGACATTCTAGCACAAAATACTTCTTACAGCAACTTTAGCAGGCAAGCGCGTTTAACTTTTCCAGTAAAAATTGATTTAACGCGTAGCAAGCTGCGCTTTATGGTCTGAATTGAACGTTGGAACATCTGGTGACTCCAGGTAACGTAATTTCGCGATCGATAGCCATGTGCTTGGTTAGGGTGGCATTGACAACAAATAAGTGATTACGTTGGCTGTCACTTAAGATCAACGGACAACGTACTCACCACAATGACGTTTGCGTGCGCAAGTCTGCAATTCAGCTTCCAATCTGAAATCATGCGCTTTGAATCGAACTTAATTCCTGTGTTGAGATTTTCTGTGCTGATATTTCCGAACAATGCACTCCAGACCGGTTTCGTACTTTTTGGACTTTCAGGTAGGGATAGCCTCAGCTGAGAATGGAACCCCGAACATGGTGGTTGAATGATTGCGCATTGATTGTTTGTCCATTGAATTCCGCAGGCACCGATTGACACAGTTCTTACGTTCATCGTTAGGCTCAAAATGGAGCTTAATTAACTTGAAAATGCGTACAAGTCGCGCTACCGGTAAACCTTGCCGACAAAGCGACGGCTTTTGTCAGAGAATGACGACACTAACCCAAGACCCGTTGGTCTCTGCATGTGTCTTACCCGTTTGCAATTAGGTCTACGGTAGGATGTACTGGATGAGGCAATGCGACGCGGTGCGATTTAACTTTGGTCCGTGCACCTCGATGACACTCAAAACAGAAAGTTGATTAACTTGAACCGAGAAACCACACTCATAAAAGGACGGATCGTATCTACATTGATAACAAACTCACTCATGCAGTACTGTTGATGGTTGGGGCTTACGCAGGGATGCGACGGGGATGCTTTTGTGAACCTCTTCCTTTGGCCTTTTTACTGTCGTTCCCAGTTGTTTGGTTTCGGTGCAGATAGAGGGGCCCATGATGACGGCGAGTTCATGAAAGTGGAAGCTATATGAAGGGAGACCAAACAATTCCAGGCGTCAAGCGAAATCAGGCGAGTTATACGTCGTCGTGTATGAAGACTAGCATAATAGACTAATGTGGTATGGGGCAATTTATTTTTGAAGAACAAAACCACATCAGTGTGCTTCCTTATAAATCTTCAAAGCTTCGGCCACGTAATGTGAGGAAGTATGCATACAAAGGGGGGAGTTAATGTATGCTAAAGGATCTAAACGTTCGTGAACCAAATGCTAACTATTTTGCGCCCACCAATTGCATGAGAAACCCCATTTACCAAACTGGGTGGTGCATTCTCTACGAACTATGTTGTTTTCTCAACCGTCGATTTGCTCCGACGCGATATGTGCCCTGTCAGATAGTCCACGCTTCTTTGCACATATCTGGTGAAGTAGTTGAATAGAAAACTAACGATAATGCGAGGTTACCATGCCTCTCTGACCAGGTGGATTAGCAAATTCCAGCGATTGAACACATTTTTTCTTACTGAAATCGCCGTTATGACACAAAAAGACTCTTCACTCTTATACTTATCTCTTCTTTAGGTCACGATGTCATGCAAGCTGTTCCATTTTCGGACCGAATATCACCAACGCAGGGCGGTACCCGATAGCGCTGTATCTGACGCCTTACTTCCGCAGCCGGAGTACTGGATACCCGGAATTGTCCGGCCAGCAATAACTCACACACGCACACAAGCACACACGAACAGACACACAAGTGTACATGAGTTATCAAATTTGTATATAAATAATCAAAAGCTAATTGTATCACTTCAGTTGTTTTGGTCACGCCATTTACCACCGGCTCTTGAGATCACAAACTTCTGGAAATACGTTGTGTTGCGATCCTTTAGTTGGGCGTTTTCTGAATTTTAAATACAGATGCAGAACCATAGCCATGATTTCCGTTAACCACATAAATTCATTTCTATAATGAGCTGGCACGCCGTGCGTTAGACGTCTGACATGGGACCCACAAAGAATACAATGTTGCATTATACATTGTTTCTTCAACCGTTATCACGGCTGCCACGAAGTTCCTGTACTCTGCAGGAAAACACTATGATTGTAGTTTTCAACGTGTTTGCCAGCATCCTGGCAACCTCCTGACGGAAACAGACCTCCTGGAGCGTCTTCAGACTTATCTTAATCCACTGTCTGACTTGAAGTGGATTAACCGATGACGGCAAGGTTTTAGTCCCGGAGACCGTTGTGTAGTTGGGATGAAATTACGGCTGTTTTTGGTATTTATCGTTGAAGGCTTTTCTGTAATCATTATTCGGTGAACCTCCTCCTGACAGCCAAAGTCAGCGGGGGAGACGACCGACACATCGTGGTGACTAACGGCTTGCGCTTACGTGGACCAACGGCTTCTAAGGTCAATGTATGCGACGTCTGCGTTCAGTCACATTGTTGAGGCGGTTCCCGTGCACACACACATTAGCTGACGTCGGTAAGTGGCCTTGGAGTCGAAAAACTAATTATCATGCCCTCCTCCCCGCGCACACGCACGACCCCTGACTCGTCAACCTAATCGTTCCCTCTGCGGGTCGGTAACCAACGTCGTAAGAAGGTATCCAAGTGAAACAGCTGCTGGCCGCTTACGGCACGGTGACGTGTACATTCACACAACACACACCGTGCGCAGATGTCCACCAATAGGATAGGACCAGTTATATGCGGTTCACCGACAACAGAGTTTTCTAGTGATTCTCCGAATATTGTACTCTATGTTAATTTAGCCGTCGCCAACTAACGAATTCCTACAGGTCACTTGGAGTATATCATGATGCTGTGATTGGCAGAAGACAAAGATAACTGAGCTCACACACAAGACATGATATGCTAAAACCGGAACGCACACATAAATAGACGTCAAATGTTATGGAAATTCTAAATAAGAATATCAAAAGACGAGGGTCGTGAGATGATAACGTCATTTCATGCATGCTCGTCGGCCACGTAGATGAAATTAACAAGGGATTAAAAACAATGTCACTTGAAGTCGATTGGCTGTCAAGTGTGTTCCGATTGGTGGGTTTCACGCTACAGCGTTAAGCTTAGTATCGCTGGTAGCTGCTTTTGGACCTAGTGGTGGGCGTAGAGAAAATTGAGGGTTGTGAATGACGCATAGGGCTTTACCTGGCGACCGGTGCTCCTCCAGTGACTCGTAATTGCGGAGGTAACTTTGTTACTTGATTCACCTGGCGCTCTCCGTAAGAAGGCGATGCGTGCCTAACAGCCTGAGTAGTGCAGCGATGGTTGTCAATCCTCTAAATTTCGCGCTTTCACAGACGCAAATGAAAAAACACCCGGCAGTGAGAAGAAGAGATGTAAAAAACAAAGCGACAGCAGCGTGGCAAGGAAGTGGGAATGTGGCTCGCTGATGTGACGATGCCAGTAGTTCCTTCGGGCACAGAGACATTGAAAGAGTTGATAAAAAGAAGCACCCATCATCCATTTGTAGAGCCCAATAATAAGACTAGAGGATAACTGCATGCAGGTTGCCCATTATATATATATATATATATATTATATATAATATATATAGATATATATATATATATATATATAGTGACTAAACAAACTTCGAGGTGTTGACACCAGCGGTAAATTTTGGATGTAAACACTGGGGTCATCCGGCCTATCGTGACGGAATGAGAGAAAGGATGGAAGCGGGGATTAACAGCTGAAAGAGACGGAACGCTTGACCAAAATTTATCAAATGACATGTGTTTATGTCTTGAGTACTCGGAGCAACTGGTTGGTCACACGAGCACTAAGTTTGTTGGGAACAGGTACTTGGGGGAGATTAGGGCCAGACAGACCCCGGAAAATATCCCCTCGTTCGACAAGTTGCGCCCTATCATTCCTATTTAATTAACTAACTTCTTCATGTTCAACCGATAGCTCAGCTACGTCTTACGCATGTGAGCCCACCGGACTCCCGCGAAGTGCGTTGTTTGCGCGTCGGGGTGTGTGGATGGAAGAAGAGGAGAGATGGCCAAGCGATGACTGCTCCAAATTTGAAGAGGGCTGGAGGAAGATCATCTGGTCCCGCGGCTTTGTTCAACTTCAACAGTCCGATCTCACGTTCGACTTCTGAGCGAGAGGGTGGATCCAAAGGGACAGCCCACGGAGCGGGGCGATCAGTGACCCGCGAATCGAACAATTCTTGCCGATTAAATTGCTTTTCAAAATGCTCAGCCCAACGCTCCAGACGTTTTGACAAATTATGGATAGGCTGTCCACTCTCGTCACGTATAGTTTCACTAACACCAGGTCTCCTGCTGCCCGTTTCCCGTGTCAGACGGAATAACTTACGATGGTTACCAAGGGCAGCGGCCACTTCCATCTCTGACGCACGATGAGACCACCAAGATTCGCGGTCTCTCTTCAGGCTAGCACGGAGTTTTGCCCGGAGCTCTTTGCGAGTTTCATTGTGCTCGCTTCCAGCCGGGATTTGCCGGCGAGCATCTATAACTTCCAGAGACTGCGAAGAGACCCAATGTCCATGTTGTCTATTAGACATACCACATGAGGATTTGCCTGCTGCTAGTAAGGTCTGGCGAACATGTGACCAGTGACCATCAATTGTCTCCTGTGAGCGCTTGCTCAACTCGCATGTTAGCGTACTTCGATACGCATTCAGAACAGCTGGTTTTGTCAGTTGGCTGGTGTCAATACGCTCACAGCGTCGTCGTGGGCGTCCGCCAAAACGCATCCGCATGTCAGCACATACAAGTGCATGATCGGTGTCCACACATGTGCTCCAAATCGAGCGACAATGCTGGATGCAGCCTCTCCAGCGGTAACTTATCGCAATGTGATCGATCTGCGTGCAAGGCTGGTTCGAGGTTGGTGGGCGCCAAGTCACCCTCCGGCGAGTGCTGTGTCTGAAATTAGTGCTCGCAAGAAATAAGCGAGCATCTTCACACAAATGAAGTAACCGCTCACCGTTATCATTACGGGAGCCTACACCGTGTTGACCGCCCAGATGCAGTTCATCAGTGGACAACTTTCCAACTTGTGCGTTCATATCCCCCGCCAGCACAACAGTGTCCGTGCTTCTTCTGTGGCGAAGGAGCTGGGTCAGTTGGCGGTAGAAGTCGTTCTTTACCGAATCATCGCTACAGTTTGTGGGCGCATAGGCAGCGATAATGAATAGACATCTATTAGTCCCGCGCGACTTCGAAGCTTTAAACGAGCCAGCCAATCGGACCGCACACATCCGGCTACTGATTGGAATCCAATCAACCAGAACAGCTTCAGCCCGGGGACTCAGGGCAATACCAACACCGGCTTGGCCGGCGCTCGAAGCTGCATCGTCACCGGATAGGCGCAAGGAGAAAATACTGCTTGCGTCCCCTGAAGGGGATCGCAGAGTGAGCACAGTGCTCGAGTCTTGCAAGCGAGTCTCTGATAAGCAGCAGATATCGATCGAGAGGGTCTCCAATGTTCGGGCAAGTGCTGCCTGTTGACCGATTTGTAGCAGTGTGCGTACATTGAGGCATGCTAATCTGAAGGAGGATCGAGGGCTCCAAACGGAAGCCGATGAACTGGATTGGACCGCTTGGTTGGACATGGGCTTGTCGACAGGAGAGGAGTGACGCTCCGCGTTCACGTGTGAGTTGAAATTAGAAGGTAAATGCCTAGCAAAGCATGTTGGGGGAGGGCCAAGAATCGGGGGGTTGAAAACTGGGGGGATATAAGTGAAGTTGGAATGGGACGGTATAAGTGAAAAAGCGTAAGAGGTGGAATAAGAAGACGGGAAGGCTTGAGCAGTAGCATCCAAACCCCTATCCACCCTGCCCGATGCAGCAGATAGGGCACCGTTGATTATCCTCTGCGGTGGCCAGGACATCAAGAAATTGTTTGAAGGAAAATTCATAGTATTGCGTGGGCAGGATACTGTCAGGTTGCCCAGGCCTAGACAGGAGAACGATTAGGGTTCTCAACCAAAGCCTTTGGTTCAAAAACCTGACCGCAAGACAGCGGGTTTGGCGTTGGGCTACAAGGAGTCCATTTAAGGAATAAGGTGCCACCCTCATTCCAACCCCCAACCTGGAGGACCAGGAGGCTGAGTTTGTCTGGCCTCTAACCATTGACCAATCTGGTATGATAGACTCTGAAGGTGCAAAATGCACCACACAGCGTAGCTCAATGGATCGCTGAGGCACACAAACCATCGCACCACGGTAAGGTCCAGCCTCATTGCGATGGATCCGTGGGTACAACCAAGGTCAAAGTATAGCGTTGAACTTAACCCGCTCTTTCGAAACTATTGCCGAAGACAGCGGTTACAGAAGCGCAGCCACTTGCTGTCATCCAGTAAACTACACTAACCGAGATAATATCTTCACAACAGCAATTCATTAAGCTGTTTTCTCAGACCAGCAGCTATCGAGAAAATTGCCGATGGAATTACCTGCTACATGTGCAAGTGACAGCAAGAATAGATTGCATTCATAGCTAGATCCGGCGAATTGTCGCTCGTCACATATTCATCTTTATGCACTCCCTGGCAAGCGCTCCTGGCGTCCAAGAAACCATCATGTATGCACACTAATTCTCAAGGTACTTTATTTTCCTTCCGAACTGAGTCCGGCAGAGTGCAAATTTAGGTATCTTCATCGTCGTAACGGTGGCATGATTACATCCAGACCAAACCAAATTCGAGGACGCGCTGCCATGAATGTTCGTTGTTCGGCACAACAGACCCAGTGAAAGGGGGCGCGTA